TATCACACACAAAAATAGTGCCCTCCCTAGCCAGAACCAAAACTAAAACAGTCTTAATCCGGGTGTAATCGCATCCCTCAAATCGGAGGGATCTAAGTAATTCATGACATATCTAAGAAACCAGGCAACACAACGAAGCACTCATACATAAGTCTCACATACTACATTTATAGGTTAGAGAGTCCACCTCATACATGTTGAGGTCTCTTCCCAAGTCTCTCATACCTCTCACACATGTACAACCATCTGGATCTAGATACGAAACATATCTCATATCTTTTTCTCTCAACGATAGGTCTAGTGGAGTAGACTTTTCATTTTGTAATAATGTCCTAAAAACCACTCCTTGCCCTATCCGCAGGAGMCACTCCAATAACTTGATTCGAGGCAGTCCTAACATACCCCACATATACAGTTGTTYTWCGACTCGAGTTATTTTACCGGACCATTATTACGRAACTCTCTTGGTGTATTGTCAGRTTCCCCTGCTGACCAARGTACKGAATTAAAATYACACAGTMAGTCAGCCTRTTACTTAACTCTTATGTCCATGCATATACACAAGTCTTGGCAAGGTACAAGGGTATCCTTCTATCGGCCTGCTATAGCTCAAACTCCACCTCAATCTACAACTCTCTCATCTGGATCATGGGAGCTTGCATAAGCATCAACAACAYTGACCAAGCTCCTTAGTCCTTGGCCATGAGGCAAGAATCTTTGGTCCAGATACAGACCATACACCAACTCGCACGTGTACCTTGCATACCCCCATTCTCGCACCCGCACAGCGGCTTTTGCTGCGGCCTCTACCCTCGCCTGTCCCCCCAACACTTTTCTATCAAGAACTTAGGCAAGATCATTCGTAATGGGGCTGAAGGAAGTGTAAACTCTTTGGCAGACTTGACCTCTATACGGGTCTCCACTTGTTCCTTTCCTTTACGGACTCTACCTCTCACCCACCTTGCTGCAACTCCCTCAGCTACCCTCAAAGGTCGGGCAAGTAAGCTACCATGCCCAAGTGCCAACTCAATCCCATATAAGATCCAAAACGGCGAAGATGCATAAAGGGTCACCCTCACAATCGCACAGTCCTGATCATCATCAAAACCTGAGTCGATCCAAGCGACTATATCCTTGCCTATCGATGCACCCCACCAGAAAGAGATATACTCTCCTTCCTTGACTCGCCTCGGCAAGGAAATCTCAAGCCCATTTTCCTTCTCGACGGGCAGGGTCACACTGGGATCTTCCCTAGCAGAAGGCATCTTGAGTTGCCTTCGTTCTGGTCTGGGTTCTGCCCATCAACGTTCAGCATACGCCTTCCGTTATCATGCTGATAATCATACTCTACAATCCCTACTCCTGAAGCCTTGGCTTCAAATTTTCTTTCCCTAAAATGCATCCTTTTGAGTGTTTACGACCACCCAGCTTAGAGAAAATAATAATGATAATATATCACGATAATATTGCACTCATAGATATCAAAACTTCATAATTATAGTACTCATGAAAAAGGATATATTACCATAGTAACTGACAACAATAGTACTCATAATAATCAAAACACATCATACATAAGCTAGTCAGTTACTCAAAATATATACAAATATCCCATATCGACAGGCCTATATCGACATGCATAACATATGATAGATACGTTATGATCAGAGGTAAGGCCGCTAACAATTAGCACTCTCAAACATAATACCAACGAGAGCACCATATTTTACTCCCCTAGCTTTGACAGAAGTATACTGTGGCGACGGGCAGTGTAATCCTCTTTAGAAAGGATAGCATCAAAACTTCCCAAGCCCCGCTCAAGGATTAAGCCTCACTGCTTCTTCCTCCGGTTCCAGCACTGACTCCTTGCAGACCCTTGCCTACAAAGTAACCAACCTCACCATCCATGCTTTGGGATGCGATATCCCGTCCTGTGCTGGTGAACCTACTTGACGCAAAAATAATTGGGGATTCATCCCCTACCTCTTTGTGGCCAAATATATTTGTTTCCCTCGTAGACCATGGCCTAACAAGGCTCAAACACTTTCCTCCTATTCAGTAGTAGTGTAGTCATTTTGTCACAAAAGATACAACAACAACACCCGACTATGGACCAGGAACATAGTTCCGGCGTGGGTTTCACTACTACTTACCAGATAAGATTATAACTTCTTCAAAGTCATCTCTCAGGGAAACAATAACATAGGATTGCAACCTTTCCTGGGGTAGACCTTACACATTGACTTTCCTTGAGAAGAACTTATCCCCAGGAAGTAGCCACTCCATTCACCTCTGAATCCGCATTAGACGTGGATTCTGCGCAATGCCTCTACCTCTCTTTGAAGAACAATCCAAGTGCACAGACTCTAACAGACAATCATAAATCAATAAACGGACTTGAGAATCTCATATAGATCCTTACAAATCAATAAACTCAAATACATCAAATAAATAGCCCATATAAATATTCCTGAAAAGGATAATCACTGAAATAATATAACATCAAGCACATAGTCCTTACATAGCCAGACACTAGGCACACTTACATTAAATCTGGCATATATGGATGAGTTCCACATATAACTCACAAGAGATACCCTTAGAAAATAATAGTTTCAAGTCCCTAGCTCCAACCCATAAATTAAAATGGATCATCAAAAACCTGGAAAGATTTAAGCGAAGGTCTTACATCACCTACATCTTGGTGCCCTATCAAAAGTAAGCAAGCAGTCTAAGTGTTAGCCCTTTCCCTATTATTCTAACTGCCCCTAGGATCAGATATCTTTCTCGCARAGAAGTTACTATGCAGACCCACTACGTCTTGTAGTCTCTTCTATTGAGGTCATAGCATGGTGTTCCCTGGATCTATCTGCTGCCTTATATGCCTAGTTCAAACACATAACGCGCGACAAATCTCACATTATCATGACTGTATTGGCCAAACAACCGCTCAAAACCCAGACTCCAGGATCTCAGTCCATACTCATAAAGCCTTCGGCCTCCCTAGCCTAGCCCTCCACGAAGTCCCTCGACGACTTCTAACGTAATAGGCTCCATTGCAAGGCCAACTTCCACAACCATCATACTTAGCCATGTTGATACCACCGCATCTCACCTTAGCCATATCAACCACACAAGGTATCGTCCAAAAACTCACCAACTTTTAAAGTCAGAAGAGGGTATCAACTCCATCTATTACCATGTTATTCAGAATACGTGATCACATAGTCAAAACGTTTATCCTCCTTGCGCCGTCGTTACTGTACTAGCCACAACCATCTCACACAATCAATCCCCACTCGGTCTCCCATCCTATCCACCTCGACCATCACATCCATCCCGCTCACATACGAGCAAGTCACCAAAACCCCCTATGTGTCATCCTCGACGCTCCTCCCCGCCTTCCCCCACCCTGCCCCCAACAACCTCCCTTCCAACCCCACCGATGACTACACCTGCATCGCGTCCACCCCCACATCCTCTGACTTCAACACCCTCGCTTGCCGTGTCCCCAAAACAGGCTACCTTCCCCCTTCCGCCACCTCCAAGGCATATCCACCTTCTCCGAACAATCCCATGACAACGTTCTCCTTTTCCTCGCCAAATTACATTAAGCTTTCCAACTCCACAACGTCCCCCTCATCCACTGGCTCTCCATTGCTGTCAACAAACTTGTCGACACCGCCCATCGCTGGTGGATCACCAAATCTGCCAACCGACACTCCGCCGATCTTCCTCCCCTCTCCTTTCTCGAGTGGGCCTCCCTCCTCTCAGCCACCTTCTGCCTGCAAAAGACAGTCGATGACTACATTGACCAGTTTTGCAGGCTTCGCCAAAACGGCCCCACCGACTGCTTCGTACAATATGTCCGTACTCTCCGCCAAAACATTCCCCACGACCAGATCACCGACTTCTTCATTTCCCGCTTCAAGCGGGTCTGCTGCAAGGACATCGCATCCGCCCTCGTCTATGACCCACCCATGTCCCTCACCGACCTCCTCACCCGTGCCCTTCAACATGATCGCCTTCTCTGCCCCGTTCGCGGTTCCACCACCTCCCATCCACGCTTCTTTCAAAACTTCTCCGACGTAGAGTCTCCCTCCAACGACGAATTCACAACCTCTATAGTTGAGCCCGACACCCTTTCCGACTCCTCCGCCCCAACGTCCCTCAGCTCGAAAGAACTCCACACCATCCAGTTGTTGCGTATGGAACGCAAGGACCGCATGGCTCGACCATCTTCCTCCACCCAACCCCCCGTCTCAAGAAACTCACAACTGCGGAACACGCCTACCTGCAAGCCAACAATGGCTGCTTTTGTTGTCGGTAGCTTGGACACCAGCAAGCAAACTGCCCCAACACCAGCCAGTTCACTCAGCATGTGAACAAACCTGCGACATCCACTTTTTTGGCCGCTGCGGGACCCAGTCCCTCCTCATCGTGAACTATGTACCCTTGATAATGGAGTGCACATCCCGACATAGACAACTGGTCTGCCGACCCCATCATCGGTGACGCCCACGTTCCACCGATGATTCCTTCGGCATCGGCATCTAGTTTGCCAACCACAACCCTGGTGACAAATTTTCCATCGGTAGACCCCCAGGCGTCACAATCTACTCCGCCTGCCCCCCTCTCGGTGACGTCCTCTACCCCGCCGATCGAGATCATAACCACCTAGTGCTCTTCCACCCTCCTCCCCAACCCTCCATCTCCTTCTCCGATGTTGTTGCGGAACAAGAACGACTCGATCGGCTTGTTAAGATAGGCCTTGAACACCGCCGCCTCAACACCATGATCTCCTCCGCCTACGTCTAGTCCCCCCGATTCCAATTTAAATTCATCTCCGCCTCTCTAGGTGCGTCTACAGTCAAGTTACGGGTTCTTCTTGACATCGGAGCTACCAGTAACTTCATCACCGACGCTTGTGCCCACAAAGCCGGTCTCCCTTCCACCGATTATGACTCCCCGATCACCATTCTACCGGGAACTTCATCACAGATGCTTGTGCCCCCAAAGCCGGTCTCCCTTCCACCAGTTACGACTCCCCGATCACCATTCGACTAGGGGATAAGGACACAACCGTCGTAGTAGATCGCACTGTTCCCGAGACCACCATGACTATTGGCTCTCTCCGCAGTCAAGTCTCATTCGATGTCATGCACTTGATGTGCGACATCATCCTGGGAACCCCATGGCTCGACCGTTTCATGCCCTACGCATTCCATCTCACCTTCTTTCGCATCACCACACCCCCTGGCCCTGCCCTCGACATCCCCTACTTTCCTCACCCTACCTCCCAACCTTTCGTCACCCCCCAGTTTTTCCACATGGCTCGTCAAAACCCCGACTCTACCTACTAATGTCTTGTCCTTGATCATGAGCGTCTCAAGGACTTGCTTCCAACGGACAAACCCGACCAAGCCCCCCTTCCCAACCCCGCTCTTACTTCCATCCTTGAGGAGTTCAAGAACGTCTTTCCCGAGTCCTTGCCCGCGGGACTACCTCCGGATCGTGGTGTCTCCCATACCATTGATCTGGAACCCGACCACACTCCTCCCTATTGACCACCCTACCAACTCTCCATTCCTGAGGCCGAAGAAATGAAGTGACAACTCAATGAACTCCTTGAAAAAGGATTCATTAAGCCAAGCTCCTTCGCCTTCGGTACAAGTTGCCTCTTCGTCAAGGAAAGCAGAACCACCGAACCCCGCATGCGCACCGACTACTGCACCCTCAACCGGATCACGAACAAGAACAAGTACCCCCTGCCTCGCATTTTCGAGCTTCTTGATCACCTCCTTGGAGCCAAGTACTTCACAAAGATCGACTTTCGAAGTGGCTTCCACCAGATCCGCATTCGTGAAGAGGATACTCATAAGACTCCCTTTCGCTCTCGCTTTGGGTATTACGAGTTCCTTGTGATGCATTTCGGCCTCACAAATGCCCCAACAACCTTCCAGTCTACTATAAATCACATCTTTCGTGACCTTCTCGAAGTCTGTGTCGTCGTCCATCTTGACGATATCCTAGTCTTCAAGCCCACCTTCGAGTCTCACCTTCAACACATTCGCCATTTTCTCTATCCTTAGAGATCAAAAGTTTTATGCCAAGCTCAACAAATGCACTTTTGTTGCCTCAAGCGTAGAATATCTCGACCACATTGTATCCGCTGACAAGATCCACATGGACCCCTCGAAGGTCACCGCTGTGGCACACTGCGTAGCCACACGGGCCCTGCGGGGCCCGTCCTAGACATTCCGCCTAAAAGCCTAAAACTTAGGGCTTACAGGCCCCGTTTGTTTCAGCCTGAAAGCTGAAAAACGGGGGCCTACAGGCCGTACCCCGTTTCAGCCTATTTCTGGGTTTTTTCAGACCCAGAGTTTTCAGCCTGAAACGGAGGGCCATTTTCAGGCCCTCATTGTTTAGACCTGCCCCTAAGACTCAGGCACGTAAACAGGGATGCGGAACAGGCCAGAAATAGCCTGTTCCTCAYGAGTTTGAGCAGGAGCTGCAGCTGCRGCCCCTGCCTCCCTTCGGCAGGCTCAGGAGGCACACCCATAGTACATAGGAAGTTCCCATGCACTTCACGGGTAGGTAGTTCAGTAGGCACGAGGTAATCTTCAGGAATTCGGCCGCAACACTCGGGAGGAGCGCTGCAGTAGTCTTCAGGGCTAGGTAGTATTAGCGCTAACTGTAGTCCTCGGCACTGGGCGCGATAGCTATAGTTGTAGTCTTCGGCGCTGGGCGCCCATAGCCTTAGTGGTAGTCTTCAGCGCTGGGCGCTATGGTAGGTGGTAGATCGTAGAGTGGGAGAGAGATTGGCGGAGGCCAGTGGTACTTACCTGTGGCGCCATCGCTCCAGCTCCATCTTCGTGGTACCTGCATCCAGACGCCAACTTCACAGGTTAGTACTGGACACAGAGAGAGAGAGAGAGTTCTTCTTCTTCCTCTT